CCCTCCTCCACCTCCTCGCTTCCCCAACTTCCTCCTCACTCCTCCTCCACCTCCTCCTTCCTCGCCTACTCCTCCTCCCCTCCCTCCTTCCCCACTTCCTCCTCCATCCCCACTTCCTTCTTCTCTCCTCCTGCTCCTCCTCCTCAACTGTTTCACCTCCACACCTCTGCCCTACACCATCTCCTCCTCCTCCTCCTCTCCTCCTCCCTCACTACTCCCTTACCCCACACCACCACCTCCTCCTCTCTCCTCCCCTCCTCCTCCTCCTCCTCCTCCTCCTCCTCCTCCCTCCTCCCCTCCCCTACCACCACCACCTCCTCTCCTACAACCACCTCCTCCTTCTCCTCCTCCCTACAACCACCTCCTCCTCCTTCTCCTCCTGCTCTCCCCCTTCCACCTCCTCTACTTCTTCCAATCCTCCTCCTCCTCCTTCCCCCCTACCTCTACCTATTCCTCCCTCTCTTCCTCCTTCCTTCTTTCCTTCAGTCATTCTTTTTCCTGCTCCTTCTCTATGATAGAATGAAGTTTATTAAGAAATGTTAATGGGTTAAGAATAAGTACCAGTTGAATTTATTAATAAAACAGTTATTGGATTTTTCCCCATTTAATTAATGCCTTTAGATCCTATATGCTTTACATTCTTCACTGTTTATATACATTTTTTATATTTTTATTTTATTTGTTTTCTAAACTAATGCCTTGAACTTCAGTGCGCCTTCTGCGAGAGGAACTGCAGCTGCTGCAGGAACAGGGGTCCTATGTTGGAGAGGTTGTGAAGCCTATGGACAAGAAGAAGGTCCTGGTCAAGGTACATCCTGAGGGCAAATTCGTGGTCGACCTTGACAAGAACATTGACATCAACCAGGTCACAGCTAACGCACGTGTTGCCTTGCGCAATGACTCCTACACGCTGCACAAGATCTTGCCAACAAGGTAAAAGTTCAGACCGCAGTGTCCTAGCCAGTCCTCTGCTTATGATCTAATAATAGGATAGGATGAGAATGTTGTATGCATGAGAGGCAGTGTGACATGCAAAAAGGGAGAGAACATGTTGATAAGATGAGAATGAGTAAATGACAATTATATCTCAACTTAGTAATTTTTTAAGTTTCAAAACCCTCATCATGAATAATGTCCTCAATCAAAACATTTTGTGAGTCATCTTACTTCACAATTTTTTGTCCACACTGAAAACTTTTATTGGCATTATCTGGCAAAATAATTGACTATGCTGATCTGCCTTTGGACAAATATGCAGTGGCAAAATTAATGTGATGCTATAAATTAAGTAATGGGAAAGTAAGATAAAAACTAGATTCGTGTCTCCTACTCATTATAGTTTTACAATTATGATACGTTTACTGGAAAGTGGAAAATGCATACAGAGGTAGGGTGGATTTTTTTTTGCTCAGCCTGGGCCTATTCCCCTAACAGGTGGACCCCTTGGTGAGCTTGATGATGGTGGAGAAGGTGCCTGACTCCACCTACGAGATGGTGGGCGGCCTCGACAAGCAGATCAAGGAGATCAAGGAGGTGATTGAGCTGCCTGTCAAGCACCCTGAGCTCTTTGATGCTCTTGGCATTGCCCAGCCCAAGGGAGTGCTGCTCTATGGGCCCCCAGGCACAGGTATGCACACTAGCCTGTTGAATCGTTGCTCTTGTTTATAAAATTCTAATTTCTGGAATTTAGCTTTATTAATTTGTTATTATTCGAAATTTGTATTTTTATTGCTCCTCTTTCTCCTCCCCCACCTCCACCTCCACCTCCACCTCCACCATCCTACTGCTCCAGTTCATTTCTTCTTCCTCTTCCATCCTACTGCTACTACCTGAGTCCTCTTCCTTCTGCCAAGACCTATGTATTTTGTTATATTTATTAAGCAAATACTGATTTTTTCTTTTTCTTTCCTTGTATCCCCTTTCTCTTCCACTCCTCTCCTTGCTCCTAAGCCCCAAGCCAGTCCCTTAACCAGTCTGATCATTCTTCCAGGTAAGACCCTGCTGGCACGTGCTGTGGCTCACCACACAGACTGCACATTCATCCGTGTGTCAGGCTCTGAGCTGGTACAGAAATTCATCGGGGAGGGCTCACGTATGGTGAGAGAGTTGTTCGTGATGGCCCGTGAGCACGCACCCTCTATTATCTTCATGGACGAGATTGACTCCATTGGATCATCTAGGATTGAGTCTGGCAGCGGAGGTGACTCAGAGGTGCAGCGGACTATGTTGGAGCTCCTCAATCAGCTTGATGGTTTTGAGGCCACTAAGAACATTAAAGTAAGAAACCACTAATGATTAAAGTAAACATAGGGCTAATGATGATGATGGTAATGATATACAAGATGATGATATTGTGCATGAGAACAATAAGAAATATATTAATAAAGTTATTGTAATAACAGTTGATAATGAACGTAATGATAATGTAAATTGCAAATTTATTGTCATTGTTTTTGTTACTTGCTTGCAGGTTATCATGGCTACCAATCGTATTGACATCTTGGATCCAGCCCTCCTGCGTCCTGGGCGTATTGACCGCAAGATCGAGTTCCCTGCACCCAATGAGGAGGCTAGGCTGGACATTCTTAAGGTATACCCATCTGTGGGCATTTGTTCAAGTAGAAATGGTTGGAGGTGAATGGATAGCATGAAGTTAATGGTTTTAGGGAGGTGGGTGAACACGGAGGGAAATGGGGAATTAGAACTGATAGAGGTAGGGGAGGGAGTTTTGTGTCTCAAATATCTTTAGTGTGTTTGGTGTCTTTAGATGTGACCATACAGATCAAATGGAGTGTTTTTTCATGAGTGAATAATATAAATGTCTTTGGTAAGTTAATTGCATTGGAATTTCATATTGTAAAGTAATAAAAATATGGCATTTATCATCAATTTTTTAGCTAGATTGCTGTTGTAGCATGGGTAATATTATAACATTGTTTTACTTGTTTGTTTCATATTGTTTTCATTTATTTATTTTCCGTTTGTTATTGTCCAGCATTTCATGATCATCAGTATCATTGTCATATAACTCAGTTATTGTATGTGTACATTTTAAGCTTATAATAGCGGTTAATTCTTTAATTACAGTCACAAAGGTGATAGTTATTGCTTCTGTCTTGCTGTTGATGAAACAAAAGCCTCATTATCTCCTTATCTTCCTTAGATTCACTCACGAAAGATGAACCTGACGAGGGGCATCAATCTGCGGAAGATTGCTGAGATGATGCCCGGAGCTTCTGGAGCAGAGGTTAAGGGTGTATGCACTGAGGCAGGAATGTACGCACTGCGAGAGAGGCGTGTGCACGTTACTCAGGAGGACTTTGAAATGGCTGTGGCAAAGGTTATGCAGAAGGACAGCGAGAAGAACATGTCAATAAAGAAACTGTGGAAGTAGAAGGGTCTGGGAGGGAAAGAAAGAGGAACTGCAGAAAAGAACGACGAAACAGCTGATATCATTAAGTCCTGTTTAGTCAGTCAATGTACAGACTCGCATCAGATATTATTGGCCCAGTGCTTGAAATTGTCGCGTTGCCAGCTATTTATTGATGTGATAATTCCTTGTACGTTAGTCATTTTCCAGAAAACCTGACATGGATGACTTTGTTTTTGAAATTATTTTATCATATGGTGTAATATCAACCTGTAGGTCATAAGGATAATAAAACTTTATAAGAAAAGTGAAAGTTTTTTCATTTGTGCCAATACATGTGAGCTGCTTCTTACATATATACTATATGTACAGTGAAAGCTCTAAGTGAAAGGGAAATTCCACTCCTGTTTCAAGTTGAATATTGGAAACAGAAACTTCAAATAGTTTTGTCACAATCTTGATTTGAACAAACCCACAGAAGTTTTCATTTTTTCATTATATATATATATTTTTTTTCATTATATATATTATTATACAATTTCATTATATATATTATATATATATAACATTAGTGCTTTTTCTCTTTAGTGGTTTTTCTCTGATCCAAGAAAGAAATAATTAATGAAAGATGAGCATATCTAAAACAGTGTGCAGAAACTCATTTGTTCATAATCTTTACTGGTGGACAAAGATGTACGTCATTTAAAGTGTAAGAATCCAGTTTATGCATACTCGTATTTTAAAAAAATTTTTGACCATTTTTATTACTTTAGACTCCATTATTGCTATTTTTGTTACTGGTCATTTTAATCCCTAAGATCTAAAAGAAAAATAATAGATGAAAAAGTGATATGCAGTGTATTAAGTATGTTCTTTATTATTATATATAGATTATATATATATATATTATAATATATATATATATATATATATATATTATATATATATATATATATATTATATAATATATATATATATATATATATATATATATATATATATATATATATATATATATATATACATACACACATCTATGTAAGTATATGTATTTATTTATTTATTTATTTATTTGGGGTGGGGGCTTGTAACACCAAAAATTTATTTACAGAAAAAGAGAACAAGATACTAACCTCTGAAATGTTTGCTTTATAATTTAGAATACATCATCAAAATGATTGTTTATTTTAATGCAAAAGTTATGTTTACTTGTTTTTGTATAATTATTTATATTGTCTACTTAAATAGGTAATGTCTCTGATATACCTTATTTATTTATTTATTTATTTTTTAGAACCCAAAGTTATACTTGATAAAGCAACCAATTAGCTGAAATTCTACC